CCCACCAAAATGGACAAAAAAACTCTACTTGGTAGAAAAATACCTAGATTTATACCATTAAATAATTTATTACCATTCAGCCTAAGATAACAAAATGTGATTGATTTATATGTATTTTTTGGCTTATATCAGACAGCCATACGCCCTCTAAGCCATCAGTTTTTAGAAGAGAGTACCAATCCTTAAAGTCTTTTCTCTTCTGAAATTGAACATGAAATATAACTAATAAAGTACAACTTATAATCCCCAATTATTAATTCGTCCATCAGGGAAATAATTATAATATCTCATAACAGACGATATGAGATAGTAAAAATTATTTCCTCCAGCAGTAAGCTTGAGGTCTTCATCTGTGACAGGAGTAATTTTATGCTGTTTGACAGATGATGCAACCCACAGTCCATTTCTGCAGAAAGTAAACAGGGAGTCAGTTTTGACCGGTTTTTACTTGTGGATTATTTCTGGCACTGTAACATTACACAAGCATTAGAAACTCAGGTTAAACCAGACTAATGAAAAGGTTTAGGCATGATTAACACTAAACACCATACTCCAATATAGTCTTAAAGACATTAGTTATTTTAGAAGCATTAAGGCTGCCTGCTCATGACTTATAACACAGAATACACAGTAGGAGTCAATCTCTAAACTATAGCTTCTCGCTGAAAAGAATATCTGATGTACTAACTTGGTGCATTCATACTGTATATCTGTAAAACGTTTTTTTATAGTTAAGTTCAGAGTGGTTTCCACAAACATAAACTTTGATAACCAGAGGAAATATTTGATATGATCTATGCCTTCTTATCTTGCACTCTCATTCCTACTTCTCATATATATCTCTACTTTTTACAGCCTTCCTTCATTAACACCTCCTAATTGGCCATTGGGCTAAGCTGAAAACAATGAAGCATTGATTTCCTTAAGCATAATCACCTCATCCACTCATTTAATGACTGCTGTCACTGTAGGCTGCCGAGAGAAAAATGACCGGTCAATGGTCCCATCGATACCCTTCACCTTCCTTCACCAAAGGCTAGAGTGCACCGCCACCCACTCCATCTTTGCAGTTTGTTTTAACCCCTTTAGTTGCCTGACAGGCTCCAAGCACTGCATCCATCACAACCACAGTCTTAAGCTGTTCTGATCCCACATTGCACCAGAACACACACTGATTACTACTGTGCACGTGAGCAGAATAAATCTGTTATGAAATACCACACAATATATGCATTAAGACACAAACCACCAAATTTATGTGACGATAATAGATGGTCGTTAACCTCACTCTGAGCTCTTAGTTACCTGAATGGCAATATGGCTTGTCCAAATGGCCATTTGTTGTCTAAGTGGCACTAGTGACTGGCCCAGAAGAGTAATGAAGCTGCTCTTTCCTCCACATACCAGATGCTTCATCGCGATCATGCTTACTGTTGAGCTGGGGGATTGCTGGGAATCGCACCAAAACATGCTTGTGTGCATGTTAGGGATGTTTGTTCAGTCTGTTCTCTTAGAAATGAATATGGTAAACATAAAACACTAAATGTCTTATGTTCTTTCACAGGTCTAAAACACACAGCCATATTCCACCAACATCAGTTGTTTTCATTTTGTTTTTGTCTGCTTTCCTTTTTGTTTTACTTTGCTTTGTCAATCAAATGCCTTCGCTGTATTGCTGGTAATTTTGTCAGTCATACTATATTTTATGTACCGCATTAAGAAAAAATCAAAGTAATGCACTGTCCTTCCAGACAACAATTACTTTTTAATTTATTTCACTGAAGGTGCAAAACAACTGTGAGAGCCAAAAGCCTGTTATATACTACACTATGGATTTCGATTACAAGCAATTGATAATGCTCAGATTTTTATCTGAGTTAACATATCTTCAAAATTCATCAACTAATTAATTGGGCAAAAGTTTCTAATGCATCCTGCCCTCATGGTGAAACAGCTGTCAAGATGATTCTTTCCAACATCTGTCCAGGGCTGGACTTTTCTAAACAATCCCAAAGACAAAATGTAAAAATATGATCATACAGCAATTCCTCATTGGTCATTCAAAACCAAGTATGTATGTTTATAGCTGACTTGCATGGGTATGACAGTTTAAAGTCTACAAAGACAGCTTACAACATTTAGATTGGCACTCTGCAACAGTTCACGTCCAGCTGATTTTTTTTAATCTATGACCAGAATTGCTGGTTCATTGGCACTCTGTCTGTTTAGTCAGCTAAATAGTAACCATATTCAATTCAATTCAATTTTATTTGTATAGCGCCAAATCACAACAACAGTCGCCTCAAGGAGCTTTTCAGTACATTCAGGGTCACCTGGTCCAGCCCTAACTATATGCTTTAGCAAAAAGGAAAGTTTTAAGCCTAATCTTAAAAGTAGAGATAGTGTCTGTCTCCCAAATCCAAACGGGAAGCTGGTTCCACAGAAGAGAGGCCTGAAAACTGAAGGCTCTCCCTCCCATTCTACTTTTAAATACTCTATAACTATATATACATTCCATTTGTACAAAAGCTGCCTTCATGATCTCATTATGTGACTTAATCTCTGCTGCTGCTGACTTCCTAAGCTGAACTGTAACTTGTACAAAAGCAAAGTTCAACATCAACAGGATGTCTTTCATTTGGCTTCACTTGGCAGTTGGGATAAGCAGACACAAAAAGGTGGTTATCAGATTGAATTTTACAGATTAAAATTGTTATTCCATTCTGCATAATAGGCCTACAGATTTAGTTCTTATTCTTTCAGCTGCAGTGATGTTGAACAGCCTGAGAGAAAGTAAAGACTAAATAATCTATAAAAACAGAATTCAAGGGTAGGATCTACGCGCAAATTTAAATTAAGGACCAAAAGTAAAAATACTTCTGTTTTAGGATCATACATTAAGTCAACATGAAAAAAACCTTGCACACATGCACAGGGAATAGAGTTCCTGCTAATAATCTGTATTTATTACTGATCCTCATCAGGGAAGACAAAAACTGTAGATCCTTTAGACCTTCTTGCTAGGATTGATCTTCCGGGAATGATGATGCCGTTGTTTTCTAAAGAACTGTTTAGTCCTTAGGTTGGGATTTTGGACCTGTTAATCCCTAATCTGTGCTGGAGCAGAGCACAAGTTACCATGGCGATGTAAAGTAAACCAGCTACATGATACTGAAAACCCAGAGTTAATCCTAACATTACCTCACCTTGTTTGTTTGTTTGTTTTGTATTGGTTTGGTTTTTTTGGGCGGGGGTTGAGTTACACCCTTCCATGATTAAATGAAACCATATTACCATTTGGGATAAGTGGTTCATTTTCTTACCTAACAGAATCACAAGGTGGAGAAACAATGAATTTTAACTCTACTTCGACTGAACAACTAAGTCCAGCGACACAGATCAAGATCATTCTCATCACATTCAAATAACAGATGCAAATATGTTAGGGTTTACTTTGGTAGTACCTTGTCAGAGGTTTTCCATTGGAAGTCTGGTAGCACTAACCTGCAGATCATGTATTGTATTATTGGTGTGGGGATTCAGGCCATAATATTCTATGATGCAACATTAAATCCTCTCTTGTCTAGCGATCTGCTTTGACTTAAAAGTAAGTCCGCAGGTCAGGAAACTCTCGCTAAAATATTCAACAAGGCAACACATTGTGAGGATTGGGGTTTTAGCAGACTCGAGGGATTGTTCTCCTCACTTTTATAGTCTGTGTTCTGCTTCCTCCTGCCTAGAAATATCAAGACAACAAGCACGGAGAGAGTGACATTAATTCTGCACGACAGCGCGGTCCAGCAGGATTGCAAATGTTTGCCTTTTAATCCAGATCTCATCGGCCTTTGGTCTGGCCGAGGCAGACATTGATGGGAATGGGAGAAGAAAACTGTTGCCAAACTTGTCTAGGCTGCTGGGAACTCAGTTCTGTAATTCATGACCCGAGCCATTTCAAACATTTGCACAACCAGCCCGGCCAGAGACACGCACACACCGGTGATTGTCATGCCAGCAGAAGCAAGTGCATCGTCTGAGCACAGCAGGATGTCCTCTTTAAAAAGCCATATCGCCACAAAAATAATGCACAGACAAGATTAAACGTGGCATTTGGTTGTCTCCCTCTCTTTCTGCACTCTATCTGTTCTATTCTGGATATTGGAGAGAATAAGTTAAACTCTCCTCTCCTCTCCCCTTGTCCTGGGATGAGCTCCAGTTTAATTGCTGGACGCTGGTGTCTGTTGTGGTGCCTGTCAAAAGAAGATAAAGAGTTTTTCCTGGGGCGTAAGGAAAAGGGAGAGCAGTGATAGAGGGCCTCTCTCCTGCAGCTCTGCTGGCTGCATTAGCCCCATGCTTTATAATTGTGTGAAGGGGGCACTTCCAGTGGCTCTCTCATTACTCACCGGTATGCCAAGTCCCTGGTATCCAGACACACCTTGTCCTCTAGCTTTCTCTTTCTGTCTGTCTCACTCATTTTAGGATGTCCCTCAGCTCCATCACCCCCTCACCCTCCCTATTGTTATTTTGGCCTACTATTGCTATATGTGCTTATCACCTTCGCTTTCCACAGACATACCCCTTTGTCAGACTGGGACCTATTGTTCAGCAGTTGTCACGACTGATGTCACCTATACTTTGGAGTTATTGCTTTAGTGTACTATTGCTTATTATTGTATTGGCATCAGAGTCAATCATGTGCTGATTGGTATGAAGTGAGAACAGTCAGCACCAAGTAAGAGGCAATTAGATGGCGTTATTGAGATGCCTTGAGGGCTAATTTGCTTCATATACTTATGGTAGAAGTACCCAGTGATTGTATTGCAGCTCCCTATACAGGATGTCCATCTTTTATCTGCATTGTTGTTGCTCGTTTGTGATTTTAAGTTCAAACTGCAGTGAGTTAAGGACACTTATTACATGGTTGCTTCAGATAGTTTACTGTTAAACGTTTCTTATTAACATCTCACATTTACTGACAGGGTGTCTTTTCAATCTCTCTCCAGAGGGTGGTACGTGCGAGGTGATTGCTGCCCACCGATGCTGTAACAAGAATCGTATCGAGGAGCGCTCTCAGACAGTCAAGTGCTCCTGTTTACCGGGGAAAGTGGCCGGAACGACACGCAACAAACCCTCCTGTGTGGATGGTGAGAACATCTAACGTGTTTTAAACTTATCTATAAATGCTCCTCTGAGAGACAGTCCTTGTCCGTCTGATACCTGTTCTAGCAGATATACTACTACCTGCGCTCTCCCAGTATAAATGACATCCAGAGATAGTACAGAGAGCATGTGTCCTACATGTGTGGCATTTCAGTCAGACAGCTCACATTTGAAACGACTGCTTTCTTACAGGGGAAGATAACAAATATGATGCAAATAGAGAGTGAAGAGTAAACAAACCCCTTAGCCAACAGGTGGATGCTGGGGTAGTGCAGGGGTTGAAAGAGCAGGATGCAATGCAGGGCAGGTGCAGCACTGACGCGTCAGAGGGAGAGACAGGAAAATTCTGGGGCTTGATTAGACTGCCAATTTGAGGGATTTGGCACGAAAAGAGTGAGGTTAATGTGCATGACATAGTGCAGCTCAGGTCGCCTGCCTCGCCTAGCGGACAGGATCTGCTTCATTTTGCAGCAACATATTTGTGGTACTCACATTATTCTCTGGTGAAGATTTTTTTTGTTCAAAAAGTAAAAATGCCACAGTCAGTATCAACCAAATTAGGAGATTAACAAATTTAGTTTGCAGAATTATATCACATTAAAAGTTACAAATTTCGTATAAAAATTCAACTTTAGATATAAATCCATTACTTTATGCTAGACCACATAAGAGGAGGTGGATGACTGACTGATTAAAGTTCTGCATTTTTGCTGAAGTAAAAGGATAAATATACAGTTTCTACATTTTTTTTTTTAATTGTGAGAACTTGCTATTATTACTTAAGAAAACTTCTGTTACTGAACTTTACTTATACATACAAAAGTCGTTTCAAATGTGAGATTTACCATCTCAAGTCTGACTCAGGCTTTAATAAGCACTTCAGATGAAGGCATACAGTATATTCAAACACAATTTCTCCACTCTCAAATGACAAAACTATGTTTAACTATTAAGAACCCAGTAGTGCAGTGCTGCTGGGCATCTGGACAATGATCCAGTTGGCCTGCAGAACTCCTAAATGGAGAGAAATTTGCAGATCGCATTGCCCAAGGCATCTCAGAAATGAATGACTAATAAACAGAAGTCAGGGAAGCTCCAGGCTAGTGCACTTGAATTACCTCAGTCGAGAAAAACAATCAGGCATCAGCAGCTCCATGGAGAGAAAAAGGGGGAAAAAGCTGACAGGAAATCACAAGTCTGCTGAGACAGAACTGTGATGCCCCTTAATTCAACGCAGCTCATTTGTGGCTCCTCAGTTTCGATCTTTTCACCTTCACCTTCATTTACGATCAAAGTCATGTGTCTGCCCTCCCGCAAAGAAGTGACACCAAAATATCTTCATTAAATTACAAAGGGGGGCCAGACAGGCATGGACAGTGGGCCTCACAAGATTAGTCAGCCACAGCTGAAACTCAGAAAGATCTTTGGATATGAAATGGAGCCACTGCTCTGCAGCATCTAGCAGACAAGGCAATCATTTTATATTAATGAAGATTCTTTCCCTTTTTTTCCTATCCAAGGCCAGCAGCGTACAATACCTGAAAACCTTAATGTCAGACTGAGACCTTTCGTTATCGGCAACTACAAATTACACCCTGGACATTAAGATAAAAAATGTTAGCTGAATGCAGTGTAAAATGTGAATTCAACCTCAGGTTTTTGGGGGAGGTTTTTTGTAGTAGTTGTTTATTTTTTTTACACCGAGATGAGGAAATCCAAAGAAGTTTTCCACCAAAGCTGGACAAAGATATAATTTTTGTATTTTTAAAAAAGTACAGACTGAGACACCGGGGTGAAGAAGAGGGGCTGGTGTAAACACTTCATGCTTCTGTGCTTCAAGCTCCCACAGTGAGAGAATCCTTGTTGTTAGTGTATTGATTAACAAGCACTTACAGAAGAGGTGGTGATAAAAAATGGAAATGACAAGTCACTGAGCTGCACTGCTACAATATTGAGCATCGCTGCCCCTTTTGAGTGGTAGTGACCTGACCTTTTAATAATTTTACTTCCTTTATCTTGCCTCGCCTCCCTACTTGGATAATTTTCACCTGCTTGAAAGTGAATCCGGCTCAGTGTTATTTATTTAACACCTACCAGGGGATAAAGGCTGAAGGGCACGCAAAATAATTATGTGATTATTCATGAGAGCTCATTTGCAGTCAAAAGTGTCAGGTTCTGACAAACAAACACCATTAAATTGAGCTTTTTATTTCTTTTTCAAGTGTGACACTGGAAGGAGGAGGTCACTTCGTTCAAGGGTGTCGATTATCTGGAAAAGTTGCGTGTTTGTCAACTTGCCCCAGCGGGCTTCCAGTGCACTATGTGAGGGATTATAGACTTGTGGAGTCAGTGGCCTGTCCCTTCAGCATTGCACCAGCCTGGCCCAGATGGAGCTTTCTCCCCAGGTCCTCATGTTATTAATGTTCCATCCAGTTGAGGAACGATGTTGCTCATCTTGCCACCCCCTGGGGGACACCTGCTGTCACTGTACCATACACAGGTTATATATCCACAAAAAAAAAAATCCAAAAAAACATAATAACATATAAAAAGAACGGCTAGTGTTCTGATATAAGTCAAAACCTTCAGAGGTCATTTAGTCTGGACACACATACAAAGCCCGGAGGAATGAACACTTCCTTATTTTTAGCCAAATTTGCAGAAACAGGCAGTCTCTCTGGCGCTCTGTATTATTGGTCATTAGCGTCAAACTCCAGCATCAAAGCCCACAGTGAAGATCAGTCCCATTGTCAAGTGTTTACTGACTTGTAGAGAGGGGCTACATGGGGTTATATCTCAGTTGCTACTGGTAACCGTTGTGGCTGTTAATAATATATGGGGAAGTGAGGACAGCTTGCGTCACGCTCACTGGGGGTCTACTGTCAGATTATCCTCATAGTGGGAATTGATTATTAGTTTTGACAAGGAGAATTATGTCCCAGTTATGTCAGGGCCAACGAAGCTCCAAGTGAAGAACATCCCTTTTAACAAGTCAAACGCTCATATCTCTCCAGCCTCACCGGACCAACCACATGCACTCAGATTAGGAGCTCATCACTGCACCGCTGCCTTTATCCCCGTGTATGAGACAAGTAAGCCCTCAGCCGAAGCATCCGAGTACACACTTACATATGCGCCCATTTAATAAACACATGCATGCTGACGCCTAATTATGCATACGTGTGTATTGTCGTGTCGCCGCTGTAGCGGTACACTCATTCAGCGGGAGACGCACCCAGATGCCCGCTCGCTGCTGATCACTGGTGGGGAATGAACCCTTCTGTTTGGCTGCAGGCGTGTAGAGTCGAGCATAACAGGTTGTCATGGTACATTAGAGATACATCCTGGGGGGGACTACCTGAGGGAAGGGACAGTAAGTGCTGAAGTTTTTCTCTTTTTTTCACATACTTTGTGAATTGAATAAAATCTTTTTTTAGTAAACACAGTAGATTAACATGGGTACTTTGATACACTCTTAAATCAATAGCATCTTCTCACAAGCACGGCTGGTGTCAATATAAGCAGGAAGGTGGTTGTTTTCCAAACAAAGTACATCCTTGTTGGCAAAGATTGTCCTACAAAAAAATAGCCAACGAGGACTGACTACTACACGTGGTTGCATGGACAGCAAAGTCCAACCTGATGACACCCAAGAACAGCAAAGTCTTCCCGTTATAAAATCTCAGCTCCCACAGTTCAGGTCTCACTGCTTCACAGACCCCCTGCTACTGTAATTGTATGTGGTTGCCAAGACACGAACCTGCTGCAGATAGAGCTCGAGGGTATGGACAGAAGGAGCATATTAGAGTGTACTGTACAACAAAAACATCTTTCTCTTGCTATAACGCACACAAGGCAAGACTAACAAACACTGAAATCCTCCTGGGTCAAAAAAAGATGTTTTTTTCCGGGAGGGGGGAGTGAAGATAATGATTGCGAAGAACATTTTCTCCTACACTGTTGTCACATCCCACTGAGCTCTCACAGCACTGATGATGTGATTAGGCTCTAACCTGTAACCTGCAAGGAAAAGCATCTGACCCTGAGCTGAGGTTTATAGGTCACTGTAGTTTTCTTCCTTCTCTAACCACTTCTCTCAGCTTTTTAAGCAACATGGCATCGCCTTCCTTGGTCTCACTATCAGAGTAACAAGTCCACAGCGAGCTGAGAGAAGGGACCCACAGCAAGATCTATGTCACATGTGTGGGAGCAGCAGTCGGATTTTTACCCACATAAAGAAATGGAAATCAAAATATACACGTTCACTGACAGAACCACAGAGTTACACTGACTGCACATTTAAGTTAAGACACATGGAAATTAAATATTTAGATACTGCATTGCTTGTAAAATAGAGTACTGATAGTGAGTGGAAGTTATTAAATACTGTAATTTAATGCCAGTTATGTCATAAATGGAGTGGTTTTAACCAGCATTACTGTAATACCGGCCCAGCACCTGCCAGTATTTCTGCGTTAGGCTTTTATGGATGTTTGTACTTGTAACTGTGAGGTTTCCAGTTTCACTTGACTGGTGAAATGGAGGCGCATCATAGAAAAATAGTTTGCAGCATTTATGAGAATTAATTTGAGTTTTAAAACACGTGCTGAGAATAAAAATATGGAGACCCTGGACTTTTGGTCTGCAGGTGCTGCTGTGCCAGGGTGTCCATTACAAATTCAGAAATTCACTAAAGCTATGATTAGAAAGCTAAACAATATTTTCTGAATAGCTAATCAAATCTTGGCTCTCTCTTTTCAGAGAGGGGCAAAGATTAATGTAGAATAATGACTATCTGAAGCTGACCTCAGGTTCAGGGGTTCAAGTCTCAATCCTTGCATAATTATACAATTGCTTCATTTGTTTCATGCTCCTGTGACCCTTCCAGTGCTTCACTGTGGCAAAATACTTGCATTTATAACTCCGTCTCATTAAGATGAAAGCAGGTCCTTCTAATTCTTTGAATGTGAGAGGGGAATAATTT